CAGAGGCAGGTGGATCTCTGTGAGTTCGAGGCCAGCCTGGTCTCCAGAGCGAGTGCCAGGATAGGCTCCAAAGCAACAGAGAGAAACCCTGTCTCGAAAAACCAAAAAAAAGAAAAAAAAGCAACCATTAAGGTGGATTCAGCCTCCAAAGCTACAGAGAAACCCCTGCCTTGAACTCCCCCTACAAAATAACAAAACAAAAAAAAACAACCCCAAAACAAAAAGCAACTACTAGTCTCAAATATTTTACATTGGTATGGATTTTTGTATATTGATACAAACTTCAGGTTATTTTTGTTATAATGTGTACATGTTTCTACTCTTGTTTAAGGTATTGTACCTATGCAGTTCATTTCAAAATGTAAAGTTTTAGTCCTTGAAAGCTATTTAGGATAATAAAGAAAGACAGGTTAGTAGTCATCTATAACACTCAGAGTTATAGTCATGTTAGATATGTTTTCAGGATCAAACAGAAATCTATTTTAAACAGATACACAGTCTTCAAACACTTCAAAGACCTCCAGGATATGGCATTTTGATGTTTTGATAAAATAAGGCTTTTCATGACAATAAGACACATCTGCTACAGCACCAATTTACTTTAAAAAAGGATGATGGGCGTCAAAGAACCTCCATATGGAGTTTGCTTTCTTCGTGGCAAAAGGTAGCCATTTGATAATGAAACTGCCCTTGCCTCGACTGCTGACAGTATGCTGTCCAAGCAGGACAAACAGTACACACACACACACACACACACACACACACACGCACGCACGCACACGCACACACACAAAACAAAATTCAACTGCTGAATTTTGCCAAGACAGGGTAGGGCACAGTCTTCAAAAATTCTTGCTTCACAGAAAAGTCTGTCAGATATTCTAGGCCTGTAGGCCAAAGTTGGATGCCCCAACAATGCAGAGGAACCTTGGGTGACTGTCCAGGCACCTGTTTCTGTCATTTCTATAGTTTTGGAAGTTGCTTGTTCTGTATTTCCTGTTTCCTCAGGTAATCTTATGTCCTTCTAGGGTCTCCAATGGAGTTGAAGATGAGATAGCTATAGTTAGTTTCCTTTGTTACCAAATTGAAAAAAAAAAAAAACCTCACAAAAGAGATACAAAATGTATAAGCTTAAATTGTTTATCTAAGAAAATGCTTCGAGGTCTAAAAAGATAGTTTTAAGATGGTAATACAAGTTATGGCAGAAAATGGTCTAGGTATAAAACTTTAAATTCATCAAGATAAGATAGATTAATAGAGTATTTCCTCTGAATATGCTAAATACAAATGGACTGGACATTGTGAGTATAATTCTTACCTCAATTGCTCTTATTGTTATAGTTTTATTGTGTTAAGAGTTAAAGCCTTTCCTTTTTATTTAGACAAAAGTGGGGAAGTGTTGCAGAATATTCCTTTACACTGTATGAAGATGTGTCTAATAAAGAGCTGGATGACCCTAGGCTAGGCTGGAAGAGGTTAGGCAGGACTTAGAGGGACAGAGAGGACTCAGAGAGGAAGAAAGGCAGAGTCACCAGCTAGATGAGGAGGAAGCAGGATGGACAGCACAGAGTAAAGGTAACCGAGCCATGCAAAAGAATGTAGATTAAAATGTATGGGTTAATTTAAGTTATAAGAACTAGTTAGGATGAAGCCTAAGCTAAGACCAAGCTTTCATAATTAGTAAGTCTCAGTGTCATTGTTTGTAAACAGGTGGTCCTGATGAGAAAGCTTGTCTACAAGAGACAGATACAAAGAGATGGAGAGCATCCTAGCTAACTGGGAGTGGAAATGGTGTGGGCTTCTAATCCCTCCCAAATACTTCTATCAACTGGGAGAGACCAAGTATCCAAATATATGAGCCTATGGGGGCCATCTCCATCCAAACCACCATGCTAGATTAGCCAATCATGGCAGTCCTCCTTCCTTAGCTTCCTAAATTCTGGGCTTCCAAGCATGAGCCCCCACATTGGGTTCTCTCCTGTCTTTGTGTCCTGCTTCAGTTTCATCCAGCATCTATTTGCTTTCTGCAGGGAATCAGAGGCAGGGTGCCATGCACACCAGGCAAGTTTTCCATCGCTGAGCCACACCCTCAGCCCTTTCTCTGGCCTTCTGTTAGCCCATCCATGAAAGGAGTAAGGTGTGTAACTAAATGCCCCAAGGGGAGGGTGTGACATTTGTGGCAGCTGTTGCTGTAAGGTTACAAGAAGGAGACTGGAAACTACTGAAGAGTATTCTCTCTAATGTTCTTGAGGCCAAAGGTGCAAAGTCCTGGCAATCGATACTAGGTCCCCCTGGAGCCTTGGGAACCAGGGGATGACTCCAGTGATGGCTGCCTGCAGTTCTTAACTTCCTAAAGTAGCAATATGGCTCCAGTCTGCTCCTGTCTTCATGTGGCCTGTTTCCCTATGTCTCTTCAGGATCTGGACATCTCAAATCACTCTTTCTCTTTTTACATTTTAAGGCAGACTGTGTAGCCTGAGATGGTCTCAAGCTTCTTCCTCCTACTTCAGCATCTCAGTGCCAGGGTTACAAGCGTATGCCATCACACCTGGCTCCTCTCCTGGCACAAGGACATCCACTAATGGGGATGAGGACCTGCCCTAATTCCAGGGTAATCGTATCTCAAGACCCCTGATTTACTGATATCTGCAGTCTCTGTTTCCAAATAAGGCCAAGCCCACTGTAGAAGGCATTAGGTGAGGCAGGGGCCAGTTCAGCCCACTACAGAAGGGTTCTTACTTGTGGTGCACTAACCATGAGAAGGCCAGGGGAGGGAGCCCATATGTTGGCATTAGGAACATGCTCTGCAGATCAGGTGCCCTTTGACCTAAGTAAGAGAGGCTCCCCTGGGGAAGTGTTTCACTGGGGGCTCTGAGGTTTCACTTTGGGGCACCAGAGTTCCAGAAAGTGTCTCAGGCTACATTCCCAGGGCTTCAACTGATATTTTCACATCCTATCCTATCTTTCCTCTCAGCCCATCCTCCAGGGTATCTGTCCTCTCCAGGGAGTCCTTGGTTGGTTCTGCTACCTTTGTGATAAAAACCAATTCCTTGCTGGTCTGGGAGCTCATAACCTTAATCCCAGAAGAGGCTGGCCTAGAGGGTCTCTGTACCTCCTGGGTTCCAGGTTGGTCAGGGCTAGATAGAGAGACCTTGTCTCAAAACAAAACAAAACAAAACAAAACAAAACAAAACACCAGCCACCTAAGTGGCATAAGACTCCCCACCTTCCACGCATGCCTTTAATCCCAGCACTTGGGAGGCAGAGGCAGGCGGATCTCTGTGAGTTCAAGACCAGCCTGGTCTACAGAGAGAGTTCCAGGACAGGCTCCAAAGCTACACAAAGAAACCATGTCTCAAAAAAAAAAAAAAAAACCAAAACAAAACAAAACAAAAAAACTCCCCACTTTCCAGCCTGCTTTCCACTGTTCCCCTTCTCTGACCCCCTTCATTGAATGTTTTTTGTTTCTGGCCTCAGGTCTTAGCTATGGCCTCTCTTCTGAAACGTCTCCCCTCACCCCCATCATCCCTCATGGCTAGATTCTCCTAGCACACTCTCTGCTGCCTCTTTCCTGCCCTCATCACTCTCTCCATCACTTACTGTGTAGAGTGTTGAGGGCAGCCATCGTTGCATTGCATGTGCCTTTGGCCTTTCTCGGCACCTTGATTTCCTCCTCTGTTCTGCCTTCTCTACGAGACCCCGTGGGACTCTCAAATGAGCCCAAAGTGACAGCCCTGGGACCTAATCAATACTAAGGATAGGGTCAAGAGATGCCAGGGCTTCTTCCCCAGGGATCCCTTATCCCTGGCCCTAGATGGCATCATAACCATCCTGTTCCCAGTGGGGACAAAGGTCTTACTCCAGCCTCACCCAGCTCCCTCGCCATTCCCAGTGTGGAGTTATCTCTCCAGCTGTTTTCTTTTCCGATCTGGAGTTCAAAAGAACAACAGATGTAGGTGTGGCAGCCACAGGAAACAAAGCTGGCAGGCTGGATCGTGTCTGCTTAGCCCCAGGCCTTCAGGGTACTGCGTACCTCTCCCTGCTGGATCCCGGGAGGAGACTCTGTAGGCCTCAAAAGCTAGCGTGTCCTGGAAACAGTGGCTCCAGGAGAGGCCAGGCCAGTTCAGGACCCAGCAGGGGGAGGGGACAGCCTGGTTTAATTAGAGCTTTAAAAATGTTCCTAAGAAAGCCGATTCAGAAGTCCTCAGCCCTGCGGGGCAGGGCTGGCATAATAATAATAAAACAACATTTGCATGGAGATTTCATTTACAAAGCACTTTGGGGGGGGGGGAGGCTCTGGGTGGCCCAGCAGATTCCTAGCTGGGAGGCCACCTCCCACCCCCAAGCCTTGGGTCGGTTCCACCCTCCAAGCAAGTTTACAATTGTGATTGCCTGCAGGGTAAACAAAGGGCCCTTCATACAACTGTTTCCGATTCTTCCAGCTTTCATTCCTTTTGCACCCTTCCAGGAAGAGCACACTTGAGGCTTGTCCTTCAGTTTAGAAAAGGATCTCAGAGGCCTGGTGAGAGGGAAAGTGGCTGGGACCCAACGGAGGAAGCTTTCCTCTGCCCCCCACCGCACCCCTCCCAAGCTCTGGCAGAATATGGCAATGCTGTAATAGGTTAGTGCCACTGTCTCCCTTGCTCACCTGTGGCTATGTCCCCACATACACAATGGAGCACTCATTTGGCATGGCTGTGTTTGGTAATATACAGAGATAAGCAGGGGTGAGTCTGCCAATCCCTCCCCACCTGAGGATGGGCATTGTGTGAAGAGTGTGGGCTGCTTGCACCTGCATGGGTAGAAGGGTTGAGACAGCTGTGGGGCCTCTCTGGTACCCCGAGTTAGAGAGTCACATGCAGTCACCTAGCCACTGGCACCCTGAAGGAAGAGTGACCTGGGGGAGGGGAGGGCAAGCATCAGATAGGGCCTGGCCCCTTAAGTACTGAGGGATTATATAGGAGCCACCTGTAGGGGCTCTAGCAGCTATCCCTGTGAAGATGGAGGAGGTCATCGCAGCGCTGGAAGGGGTCACATTTGCCTTTGAGCAGGATGTGGAATTGCAGAAGGGCACTGGGCTCCTGCCATTCCAGGGCATGGACAGTAAGTGGCAATGCCATGTTTCCCCTGGCCAGATCCTTGAGTCCTCCCTGACTTCCTTCTGGCTCTCCTTCACAGCTTCTGGGTAGTTTACTATCCAGGACAGAAAGACAGATTTCCAAGCTCCTCACTGGCCTCCAGGGCTCCCTGGCTGCCCCAAAGACTTGCATCTCCTGTCTCAAGAGACAGGCTGAGTTTCTGTGTGTGTGTGTGTGGGGGGGGGCACTTGGTAAGAGGGCATCTTTGATTCACAGTAGCCACAACAGGAGACAAATGACAGTCGCCTCTGATGGCAGAAACCATGGCCAGCAAGAGGCTGAGACAGGAGGATTGCTATGAGTTCCAGGCCAACCTGGACTACTCAGACCTTGTCTCTTAAATGAATGAAGAAACAAGCGAACGGCAGAAAATAAAAACCAAAGATGGTAGCCAGAGAGGATACATGGGGGCCCACACAGATCCAAGCCTGTAGGAGGCTTGGGTGGGACTTGCTGAGGAGGAGAAACTTGAGGTTCCCTGGCAGGGAGCTCAGCTCTGGGAATCTATCTTTTCTGTTTCTTTCTCCAGAGTCCAACTCAGCTGTGTGCAACTTCTTCGCTAAAGGGCTCTGTGAGAAAGGTGAGTGAGGCCGGCCTCTTGGGCTGGGCCAGAACAGGAATGGCTGTGAGGACCATGCTGGGTTCAGCTGGGGCTTAGGAGAAGTGTGTGCTTGGCACCTGGGACAGGACAGGATTCAGCTCTCATGAGAGCAGTGGCCTGGGGTGGCCAGCATTCGTACCAGGGTAATGGGGCTACCCCATTCCCTTCTTTAAATTTTTTTAAAATTATGTGTACCTGTGTGTGGGTTTACAAACATGAGGGTATGCGTCCTTAGAAACTGGAGGTGTTGGGTCTGTCTGGAACTGTAATTACAGATGGTTGTGAGCTGCCCCCTATGGGTGCTGGGAACCAAACTCAGGGCCTCTGGAAGAGCAGCTGGTGTTCTTAACCACTGAGCCATCACTCCAGTCCAATACTCTCTTTTTGATGAGGTAGTGATGGGTCAGGGCCTTTGGCCTGTGTTCTCATGCTTCAGTCCTCCTCAGTCTAACTCATCCTCTTTGCAACCAGGCCTCCCCACCTTGAATCAACCTGGAAACTGATCAATCATCCCAGCTACTTCTGCTCTTAGGTAGCCTCTTGCGTGACAGCCACTGCTGCGCAATGATCTCCCTCTCAAATCCCTCCCCCGGATGTAGCCTGTCTTAACCCCAGGCATTTGGCCTTCTCTTCTGGATTGTGGGTCACTGTGAGGTTCCTCCAATAGAAACATACAGTTGCCAAAATACCTTACCCCTCATGGGTAAGGGTAATGGGTTTCCCATTCCTCCACCCCCATCCCCAAGCCTGCCAATCCATCCAGGGGAAGAGTTTCTTAGGGAGCCTGCCTTGGGGACCCTTATTATTCTGTTCCTAAAAGCCAGGAGGTAGGAGCCCAAGCAAGGAGGACCCAGAGCTGTGTGTGCATTTCTGGAAGGTGGATGAGAAAGGAAAGGAGCTCAGTGGCCACCCAGGGCTCTGGGACACTAGAATCTTCCAGGTCCATTACAGACTGAGTCAGTCATAACTCAGAGAGATGGCTTCTTTCTTTTCTTATAAATAAATAAATAGTTACTTATTTGTATAGTGTTCTGCTTGCATTATGCTTGAATGCCAGAAAAGGGCACCAGACCCCATTATAGATGGCTGTGAGCCACTATGTGGTTGCTGGGAATTGAACTCAGGACCTCTGAAAGAACAGCCAGTGCTCTTAACCACTGAGCCACCTCTCTAGCCCCTGCCCCTTTTTAACTTTTCAAATTACTTATGTGTTTTTATGTATGTTTGTATGAGGGTGTCAGATTCCCTGTAGTTACAGATAGTTGTGAGCTGTCTTGTGGGTGCTGGGAATTGAACCCAGGTCCTATGAAAGATGACCTACTGGGCCATCTCTCCAGCCCCAAGATGGATTCTTTCTTGCAGAGAAAGAAAGCTGCTACTGAGGAAGATCATAGCACCAGGGATGGCTAGAAGTGTGTGTGTATGTGTGCATGGGGGCGGGGGAAGGGACACTTACAGAGGACACCCTGGTCATGCATAAAACAAGTCCCATTTAGACACCCCTTCCCTTCTGGTGGCACTGTCTACTGAATAAGATTCTGGGGCGGTCAAATCTAACTTTTCTACTGCCTGCCCATTTTAAGAGTCACCTATTTCATGGCTGTGTTCTTTTTTTGTTTTGTTTTTTTCAAGACAGGGTTTCTCTGTAGCAGAGGACCCTGCTGCTGCTCCCAGCATCCACCTGGCAGCTTACAACAGTCTGTAACTCTCGTTCTCGGGGATCGGATGCCTCTTCTGACCTCTGAGGACTCCTGCACACACAATGTGCACACACACACACACACACAAACACATAAAACTAATTTTTTTTTAAACAAGGAAGAAACAAATCCAGAACATTTCCCTCGCTGCAAAAGTCATGAATTCAGCAAGCTTTTACGGTATGGCAAGAGCTGGCCTGGGTATGGCCATGGGGTGAGGGGACTGCTCTCCCATGGGAAAGGTACCCTGGAGGTTCCTGGGGTTTGACTCTGGGAGAGGGACCCACTGTCTCTTATGATAACCTCTTTCCCAGTGTGGTCCTCCGATCCTGTTCTAGCCCTTCCTAGGTTGTGTCTAGGTGATGGGACACAGAGATGACAGAGGTGGGAAAGAGTAGCCTCATAGGCCCTGGGAACTCCTCCCGGCAGGTTAGGTGAGGCCTACAGCAGGTGTCGTGTTCTGCAGGGACGCTGTGCCCGCTTCGGCACGAGAAGGGCGAGAAGATAGTGGTGTGCAAACATTGGCTTCGAGGGCTCTGCCGAAAGGGTGACTGCTGCAACTTCCTGCATCAGTATGACATCGACAGGATGCCTGTGTGCTACTTCCACTCAAAGTTTGGTAATGCCTGGCATGTGGGGGTGATGGGTAGGGATAGAAGAAGCCCAGAAGGCCAGCCTTGCCCCAAGCTGGCTGCTTCTCTGAACCCCCAAGAAAATAGAACCAAGGCGGGGCCCAGTGGAACACGGCTCTAATCTCAGCACTAGGGAAGCTGAGCAAGAGAATCAGGAATTCATGGTCTGTCTCAGCTACAGGGAAGTACAAGGGTAGCCTGGATTACATGAGACCTTGTCTGAAAACAACAACAACAGCAGCAACCAAACATTAAAAAATAGGGTCAGTTGTGGTGGTGTATACCTTTAATCCCAGCACTGAGGAGGCAGAGGCAGGCAGATCTCTGAGTTTGAAGCCGTAGTAAGTTTCAGACCAGCTAGAGCTGCACAATAAAACTCTCTCTGTCTTTCACAGAGACAGGTGGATCTGTGAAAGTTTGAGGCCAGCCTGGTCTACAGAGTGATTTCCAGGACAGGCTCCAAAACTACACAGAGAAACCTTGTCTCAAAAAACAAAAACAAACAAACAAAAGGAAAACAAACAAAAGATAAAAATAAAATGAAGGATGCAGAGTTGAATCTGCCCTTTGTTAGTCTCAGCTCGGCAGTTACATCAAAGGGAAGAGAATGTTGTTCCCCACTGCAGGCATGACTAATCCACACCCAGATGACTGTCAGGAATAGCCTGAACGACCCATCTCTCAGTCCCTGCTGTGCCCAGTCAGGCCTCCCCAAATGAGATGAGTTGTTAGCTGTGCTCAGAATGGTCACCGTTACCCACGAGGCACCCACACCCCATCTTCTTCCTGCTCTCCTGCTATTTCTAACATTTATTTTAGATGAAAATGTCATGTTACCTCCCAAAAGGGAAAGCCTGCATCATTTGTTGGAAAGAGAAGGTCAGTCACTGTGTATATAAAGCCACGGAGTTCAGAAGTCTGGTCCCTAAAATTATCTTGTGTGGGCAGGTCTGCTCCAGCCTCCCTTGCGGTCATCCAAGGAGCTATTTAGGGCAGCCTCAGCCACCTTTCCCCTCCCTGGAAGATGGAGTCTGTGAATGTCTTACCTTTACAGTGTCAATCTACAGCTTGGTGGTGTTTGATTAGTTCCAGTGGGGTTGGGATGATCTACTCCATTGGTTTCCAAACTGAGGGGTTGGAGGAAGGAAGGGAGGAGGAGCGGAAGAGAGGTAACATGCTGGATCTCCAGGCCCAGCCCGCATTTAAGAGACTGAAGGGCCACACTGCTTGCAGGTAGCCAATTTCATTAGTGCTGATAGGGAGGGGCCTTGGGCACCTTGAAGGCTGCAAAGTCTCTCCTGGGGCAGGGAAAGTTCATCCCATTAGACCAGCATTCCAGACTGCCTGCTCTGAGGAGCCAAGTCCTGTGGCAGTTCACGAGGGATGCCAGAATGTCTTTCTGGAATAAAAGGACAGTTTATCTAGGGGCTGGTCCCCTGAAATCACTGACTAAAGCACTTTCACTTACAAATGTTCTTTTAATGCTCTCAACCCTGCGTTTCTTGGCTAGGTGATCAGATTCGGTACTAGGAGCAGAAATGGGGACACATGGAAGTAATTCAGGGCAGATGTGTAAACTCATGAGTTTGTAACCTAAGGTTTTGATCTTTTTTTTAAAAAAGATTTTATCTATTATGTATGCAGTGTTCTGCCTGCATGTATGCCTGCACACCAGAAGAGGGCACCAGATCTCTTTACGGATGGTTCTGAGCCACCACGTGGGTGCTGGGAATTGAACTCAGTACCTCTGGAAAAGCAGTCACTGCTTTTAACCTCTGAGCAGTCTCTCCAGCCCAAGGTTTTGCTCTTAACAATGAGGAAATCTCTCTAATATTATAAAGATAATTATATGCTAGGCGTGGTGGTACATTCCTTTAATCCCAGGACTCAAGAGGCAGAGAGAAGCAGGTTGATCTCCATGAGTTCAAGGCCAGCCTGGTCTATGTAGAGTTTCAGGTCAGCCAGGATTACATAGTGAGACCCTGTCTCAAACATTGAGGAAGAATTCAAAGTCAGAGAGTGCCTGAGCTACATAGGTTGTCTTTTACAAATTGCGTGTGTGTGTGTGTGTGTGTGTGTGTGTGTGTGTGTGTGTGTGTGTGAAATTCCTCTTTCTTCTTAGTCATACCATCTCCACTTTGAGATACGGTCCCATTATGTAGCCCTGGCTGGCCTGGAACTCACTATGTAGACTAGGCTGGCCTCAAACTCATAGAGATCCATCTGCCTCTGCCTCCTGAGTGCTGAGATTAGAGGAATGTGCCACCATTCCCTGCTTCAATGTCTCTGGTCTTTTTTTTTTTTTTTTTTTTTTTAATACTGCTGAAACAGGCATGGTGGCACAGCCTTTATTCCCAGCACTCAGGAGAAAGAGGCAGATGGATCTCTGTGAGTTTGAGGTCAGCCTGGTCTGCAGAGCGAGTTCCAGGACAACCAGGGCTACAAAGAGGAAACCCTGTCTCCAAAAACCAAAAATCAAACCAATGCAAAACAAAACAGAAAACCAAATCCCAAAAATGCCGCTGAGCTGCAAGTGATGCATAGAGTGCTGAGAAGTAAACTAACGGAAGGACTTAGGTGCGACATCCATGAAGCTGTCACCGCGGTGGGCTGGCACTCGGCGGGGATAGCGCTGTTTGGGGGTCAGTAACAACTTGCTCATGCTCTGTAACTAAGCCCAAGGAATTCATGGGTGCACTCGGCGGGGATAGCGCTGTTTGGGGGTCAGTAACAACTTGCTCATGCTCTGTAACTAAGCCCAAGGAATTCATGGGTGCACTCGGCGGGGATAGCGCTGTTTGGGGGTCAGTAACAACTTGCTCATGCTCTGTAACTAAGCCCAAGGAATTCATGGGTGCACTCGGCGGGGATAGCGCTGTTTGGGGGTCAGTAACAACTTGCTCATGCTCTGTAACTAAGCCCAAGGAATTGGGAGCTGGAAAGCTCATTTGGTTAGATCCTGGGTGTCTGGTGCTTGAAAGGAGTAAAAGCAGCCGCAAAAGACACTGGAGGCTGGGGTGTTGCTGCCATCTTCTGGCCAGGAGCAGATATAGCAACGTGCAGCTGGGATGGACAGATAGGTGTAGGTGTCCAATGCGCCCCCCACCCCCACCCCAAGCTTTGACTAAAACTATGCATGAGGTTGTTTTGATTTCTAAAGAGGCTCAAACCCAGGGGACAGCAGAGGATGTACCAATAAGTCCTTTGGTGTGAGGAAATTGAGTGAACAGATGTGGCACTTGCTTCTCCCTGATGGCTGGCATCCACATTTGTGAAATGCAAGGTCTAGAAAGGAATGGCAAAACTCTTAGGAGTCAAGAGAAATCTTCCTCAGGTAGAGCATCATCATGTGAAAAAGTCCCATGTAGTTGGGTGGTGGTAGTGCCCACCTTTAATTCCCAGCGTCCTCCGAGGCAGGCGGATCTCTGTGAGTTCAAGGCCAGCCTGATCTACAAATTGAGTTCCAGGACAGGCTCCAAAGCTACACAGAGAAACCCTGTCTCGAAAAATCAAACCAAAAATGAAAAAAAAAAAAAAAGTCCCATGTATAAGATAACTCTCTGGCAGACCTTATGAACTTCCTGTTAGTTCCGAAGAACATAGGCTTTTAGGAAGGGTGAGAGCAGAAATCTTCACAGGTTTCTCCACCGAAAGGAGACAGAACAGGTCATACATAGTTTTCTCTCCTTCAGATCTGCCTAAGTGAAACCTACAAGTCACAGCTGCAGGCAGCCTGTGTCTAGAAGGCTGCCACCTTGTGGAAGTGAAGCAGATCAGCACTTGGTTTACCGCATAGACTCGGCATGGCCTAGGCTCTGAAAGGTGCCCGCTGGGCCCTACTGGGGCCTTTGCTCTGTCCTTGGTATTTCCTCCAAAACACCCCCGCTGCCGCCGCCCCTCTTTGGGCTCTGAGACAGTGGAGGGTTCACAGTGAAGATGGCCAGAGTGTAACTCTCTCTTCCAGTGGCAGAGGGCTTCTGAAGATGAGGGACAAGCAGGAGATGGGCCAGTGGCTTCCATAGGTGGGAGGGTCGGGGCAAATTGGGGTGGGGACGCAGAGGTGGTCCTAAGTGTGAACCTGCAATGGACTTTCAGGGAACTGCAGCAACAAGGACTGCTCCTTCCTCCACGTGAAGCCAGCTCCCAATGCCCAGGACTGCCCTTGGTATGACCGAGGGTTCTGCAAGGATGGTGAGAGCTCCATGGGCAGGCATGGGATGAGCAGAGGGATGAGGGTGGTCCAGGGCGCTCAGCAGGTGATGAGCGATAATCCCCACGAGGGTTTATGTCATATGAATGCCCCCAATGAGAGCTTTTCTGAAGTTGTCCCAGGCTTGTACAACAGGGCTCTTGAGACACTGGAAAATGCAGCCTGGCATAGGGCACAATAGGCTTCCCAGGGAGGGCTGGGGGATTTACATCCTACCCTTCTCAACGGGTGGCTGTGGACCTTGGTGGAGAAGCCTAGCAGAAGGTCTAGTCCATGAGACACAGCTCCCAGGTATTAAATGCCACTTAAGTTCTACCCTTTGGCCGGCTCCAAGACAAACTTTGTAGGGTGTCTGTGGATCACTGGGCCCTTGACTGTGTATCTCCCACTGTGATTCTTAGTATTGGGTTGGGAGGGGCTGCTGAGGAAAGGGGGCTTGAGCATGCTCTCACCTCCTTTGTGCTGGGGGAACCCAGGGCTAGCAGCATGGTCTGTCTGGGCTTCACCACTGAACCACATGCCCAGCCCTTACTGGGGCCAAGGTTCCTACCCCTTTCTGTCTCCCGGCTTCGGGGACATCAATGGCAGGAAGCCTACTACAGCCCTACTCATGCTTTTCAATGAGCTATTTCACGTAGACTTCCTCCTCTGGGTGAAGCAGGCTCTCTTGGCCATTTGCTCTTTGTCTAGTAGGTCCCCTGTGTAAATACCACCATGTCCATCAAGTAATGTGCCTCAACTACTTCACCGGCTTCTGCCCCAAGGGACCCAAGTGCCAATTTGGGCAGTAAGTATGATTCTTCCATCTCTCGAACCCACTGGAGTGCTGGGCCCTACCACCTGGATCTAGACCCTTTTGGACTTTCCTTTGCCCTTAGCTGGAGATTGTCTAGCAAGTATCTCCCTAGTGGTTTTCATTGCACTGCCGTCCCACCCTGGCTTCTGGGTGCTGTTGGCCGGGTGGACTCCAGCCCTCCCTCTTTGACATGTGCTCACAGTGGGGCAGGCAGGTGTGTGCCTCTCACAGGCTGTTCCTATCACTCTCTGGTCCTTTGCAGTTCGACCTGCTTAGGATGAGTGCTTCTTCCCTAGGGGCTCTGGAATGGGAAGTCAGCAGCAGACTGGCGCTGAGCATGCCAATGAGCTGGGATGGAAGGCTAGAGCCAACACACATACCTGACTCTAACACACACACTCTCTCTCCCTTCCGTCCTATTCCTCACTCTCTCTCCTTCCCTCAGCCCCAAGATGAGCCAGGTACTCCACCCCAGTAATGTCAAGGTAAGTGCAGAACTCAGGGTGCCACAGAGGGTCCCCATCTTTTGGCTTCCACACCTGTCTGTGTTCCCTAGCACTGTCCTATTCTCACGAGACCCCACTCTCTCGAGTCCCAATCCTGTAGAAGGCACATGCCCTGCGTCCTGGGCATCTGAGCATAGAGTAGCCCCTCCCAGTCTCCCTGCCCTCCATCACCTCGGCACTGGGTAGGACCCCTCCCTCCATAAAAACACCGAGGCCTTCCTTTTCTTTGGCTGAGTAACACAGGGACGGTTTCCTTTCTCTGTTATGTTTTTAATTTTATTTATTTACTTTGTGTATATATGTGGATATGTGCATGCCATGGCAAATGCCTGGAAGTCAGAGGACAACTTAGGCCAATTGGTTCTCTCCTTCTACCACCTGAATCCTGAGGGTAGAACTCGGGTCTTCAGGCTTGGCAGTAAGCAGGCACTTCTACCAACAAAGTCATCCTGACATCCCATGGGAATGTTTTGCACAGACAAAAATCCAAAGTCAGTTTTCTGAATGAAGACTATGACACTACATAAATTTTCCTGGTTCCTAGGTAGAGACATAGTATCCCCATTGTTCCCAGGTATCAGTGGGAACTCATTTCAAGGGTCAGCACACTGTTATCTTCAGGCCATGTCCACCCCCACCTTAGTGGTGGAGACGGAGCCCAGAATCCTAGGTGGCTAGGCAAGTGTTCCATTACTGAGTTACAGCTGACATCCCCAGTCTCCTAATGCTTGTCTGTCTTTCTATCCATCCCCTGCCCCCCATCTCACTATTTAGCTCTGTTTGAGGTCTGGCTGGCCTCAGATTTGCTATGTAAACTAGGCTGGTCTCAGAATCAGAGATCCACCTGCCTCTGCCTCCCCAGTGCTGGAATTGAAGGTGTGCATCGTCACTCCTGGATAATGGCTTTTTCTGTAACTAGAGAGATGAGAATGGTTTGTAAGAGGCTACTGGGAGGGCTGGAGAGATGGCTCCGTAATTCAGAGTAGCCACTGCTCTCACAGTTTAGTTCCCAGCACCCAGGGGACCTGATTCCTCCAGCCTCTGTGGGCACAAACCCCCACACGTACGTAATTTAAAAAAACAATAAATCCTAAAGGGTTGGAGGGAAATAGACGACTGTTTTGTGTCTGGGATGACCCCTCCAGGGCTGGTTGCAGCTCTCCTGGACCAGTGCCATGGAAGGCATCATCTGCACATTGCCTGTTTATGGTTTCAGTGTGTTAGGATCACCTCCAGGTTGTACTGCTCCTCAGAGCAGTAGTTTGGGGCTGATGCCTAGTGGGAGGTCTCCAGCATCCTCATGGGACTAGATCCTGATGAAAGTGGTTGTTATGAGCCAAGTTGGCTTTCCCGCTTCCTTCCTCTGCACCATATGACGACCCCCCCCCCACCTGCACATAGTACTTGCTCCGGGTTGACTTGGCACAAGGCCCTGCCCAGAAGCTGAGCGTACACCTCTAGGTCTTAGACCTCAGCCTCCAGAATGTCAGCTCAGCAAACTTTTCTTTTTGAGTTCCCGAGCAGGTAACTTCTTCCAAAGGTGTGCTTTTGGTAATTAAAAGTGTTGATAACACTGAGGAGGTGGAGGCAGGAGGACCAGGTCAAGGCTGCCCTTGGCTACATCTTGAATTTGAGGCTAGCCAGAGTTACACGGGACACTGTCTCAAAAATAAAATCCCAGGGCTGGAGAGATGGCTCAGAGGTTAAGATCACTGGCTGCTCTTTCAGAGGTCCTGAGTTCAATTCCCAGCAATCGCATGGTAGCTCACAACCCTTTATTTGTTTGTTTGTTTTTTTGTTTTTTGTTTTTTTGAGACAACAAACAGTTGTTTCTCTGTGGCTTTGGAGGCTGTCCTGGCACTCGCTCTGTAGACCAGGCTGGCCTCGAACTCACAGAGATCCACCTGCCTCTGCCTCCCGAGTGCTGGGATTAAAGGGACAAAGGGAGTTCCAGGACAGCAGGAGCTGTTACACAGAGAAACCCTGTCTTGAAAAAAAAGAAGAAAAAGAAAAAGAAAAAAAAAAGGGTGGAGGCAGGAAGATCGTTCAAGGTCATCCTTGGCTATATAGAGAGGCAGCCTGGGCTACACAAGACCTAGTTTCAAAAAGAAAAAAAAAAGAATAGTTACACCAGAATACTAGGTAAGAGGAAAGAATGTTTTTTGTTTGTTTGTTTGTTTGTTTTGTTTTTTTGAGACAGGGTTTCTCTGTGTAGCTTTGGAGACTATCCTGGCACTCGCTCTGGAGACCAGGCTAGCCTTGAACTCACAGAGATCTGCCTGGGATTAAAGACGTGCACCACCAATGCCCAGCAAGAATGTTTTATTTTCTTGTTTGTTAGACTTTATGAACCTTGGAAATCAAGAACCACCTTGACCGGCAATATGGGAGCTGAACCCGGAACCTTAAGTCTCTTTTGGGTCAGATCTTGTGATTGTTCCCAGGCTGATCTCAAACCACGGCACTTACGAGGTCTTCCCACCTTAGCCTCCTGAACAAGACCCTTGTGAGGCTGGAGAAGCCTATACATTCTTTTGAAAACCAGCCTGTGGTTCCCTCAACGAGCGGGGACTTTTCTTTGGAGAATAAGGCATGGCTTTAGCTCTCTTTTCTTCAAAACCCAGGCCACCATGCCAGTGAAGAAAATGGTACCCGTTGGAGTCATCAAAACATAGCCTGTAGCAAGGGAACTAGAAATCCTCCCCGTGAAGGGGCTCCATGACCTCACCATGGAATTCTGCACCCAGTGGTCTAGTGAATCCCATCACCCCGGTGAGATACAGGATGCAGAAACAGTCTACAGCATCTGCCTTATTTCCAACTATCATGGGCATGAACAAGCTGCTGAAAAATACAACAGGCCGAGGTCGGCTAACTGTGGGAGGGAGGAGTCATCCCATCCGTGAACCAGTAGAGCAAAGTGCACTGAACTCCAGCAGGTCAGTCAGTACCCCATGTTCCGCTCCTGTGCTCCTGTAGACTGCTCTGGGTCAGCGGCCTCAAGTGCTCCCGGAAGTGGGTAATCCAATCAAACAGTTGTTTTCAGCTGCTTCCCCATATGGCTTGTTTAAATTTGAGAATATACTTATTGCATCTTAATGTGAAGCTGTATTAATTCCTTTTTTTTTTTTTTAAATGCTGTGACAAAGCAGCCAACTTACGATTTATTTCGAGAGGATACAGTCAATCATGGCAGGGAAACCATGGTGGGAGTGTGAAATGGCTGGTCATACTGAATCCATTCAAGGAAGCCCAGAAAAAGAAATGATCAGCTTCCTTCTTTTATGTTTAAAATTCAGTCTGGGAAGCCAGTGCACAGAGAGGGTGCATTGCATTGTATTGCAGCATGGCCACATGGATTCCGTGGATTCCTGGGCTGTCTTCTCTACTCAGTTAGATCTAATACCTTTATAGACACAACCAGAGGCATATCTCCCAGGTGACTGCAGCCAAGCTAACACAGAAGATTAACCCCCACAGGGGGATTAAGCATAGGCATATAGAAACAGCATATCCTGCTGAGCTAAGGCAGAGACCAGGATAGTAGTCTCCACCATGACAAAGCAGATGCAATGTTATTTACCCACTGGAAGAAGGGGGCAGCTAAGTGGATTTTTCCAGTACAGAAAAAGGCAGCCTGCAGAAGGACTAGGGGAAGCATGGGTGCCTGGCCTCCCTCAGCAGGAGGGCTTTGCTGAGGCAATGTGTAACACAGGCCCAGGGGGCACGTTTGTGGGTTTGGGTACCATTGCAAACCACCCTAGGATGTTGTGTGATAGCATTTAGCCACAGGCAAATGGCCTAACCTCCTCTAGTCTGCTTCCTCAATCTAGAACACAAGCAGGGTGGTTGTACAGGTAAAATGACCCAGTTCATGTGACAGAACTCTGCAGGACACCTGGTGGTGTGGACTACACCGTGCCTGTTGCTGTTTGACAAAGTTCCAGTATTTCAACATTGCAGACCACACTTCTCCAGCACCTTTTACTTTTCATTTTTAATGATTCTCAATATTAATGCCTTTCCCTTTGGGAAATTTTGTACATGCTTTGGCAAAGGGTGAAAATGTGTGCAGTGGTGGCTGGAGAGATGACTCAGAGGTTAAGAGCATTGACTGCTCTTCCAGAGGACCAGGGTTCAATTCCCAGCACGAACACGGCAGCTCACAACTGTCTGTAATTCCAAGATCTGACATCCTCACACAGGCATATATGCATAGCAAACACCAATGCAAAAAAAAAAAAATTGTACGATGGTAGCCTCTCTAAACAAAATAATTCTTTGGCAAAAAATCCCTGCCACCATGGAACCAGGAATTCCATTGTGCCCTCCTAATTACGCCAAGACCAGGAAAGTTAAGAGATTTACTAGACATACCTGATCCCAAGGATGAAATGCCTACAGTTCAGATCCAGAGCCCGAGGCTGTTAAAGCAAGAGTTCAGTTAATAAACACGGAGAAATCAGAATGGTGCAGTACAATGGGAAGAGTAAAGGTATCAGGACCTTCCCTTTTAGGAGAGTTATGCCGGGAACAGGCTATATAGTAAGAGTAAGAAGCTGTAATACAGTGTCTCTCCATTCCCTGGGTGGGAGTGGGGGGGGGGGGCTTGAGGAAAGCTCCTGCTTGATAAAGCAGTCGTTCTTATCTCTAGCAAGAGGAACTCATGGCCCTTTCACTGACATGTGACTAGTGGCTACCGTTAAGGTCAAGGCTAGCATCCTCATCTCCTCATCTCCAGCCACATGTCAGCTCCCATGTCTCCAGTTTAATCCCACGTGCAGCATGGAAAGTGTAATCTTTTCTCAAGTAAAGGTTGCTGGCAGCCATCCCAATTCACTGGCAGATTGGATGTGGTGTCCCTGTCCCCGATTCCACATCCTCTTTGGGACCCCCACCCCTACCCTGCAAGCAGGTCTTTGGCAACCTGGCATCAACATGCACCCAACTCTTAGCTGGTCTAAGTAGGCACTGCTGTGGAGCTCAGCCTCCAGGCTCAGAGCTTTAAACTGATGATCTGAATGAGTCCCTGTGGTGGTTAAATGAGAACAGTCCCCATAGGCTCATATATTTGAATGCTTGGTCCCACATGGCATAAATGCCCTTGGTAAACATGATTTCTCTGTGGGCTAGCTCTGTATTTAGGTATTAAGGGGTGGCAATGGTGTGTGTGGTGAGGCTCTCAGGGCACAACACTGAGTGTTTGAGAGAAAAAAGTGTTTTGTGTGGGATAATTCTGTCAACTTGACACAGGCTAGAGTCATCAGTGCAGGGAAACTCAACTCAGATCGTGTTTCCATAAAAATCAGGCTGTGGGCAGGCCCATAGGACATTTTCTTAATTAGTGATTTATGGGGGTGAGCCCAACCCATGGTAGGTGGGGCCACCCTTGGCTAGTGGTCTTGGTTCTGTAAGAAAGTAGACTGAACAAGCCAGTAGCCAGCACTCCCCATGGCCTCTGTGCCAGCTCCTGCCTCCAGGTTCCTGCCCTGACTTTTTTCAATGATGAAAAGCATTTGAAAACATTGCCCACACTTTTAATCCCAGCACTCTGCAGGTGGACCTCTGTGGGCCAGCCAGGGCTACAGTGTGAGTCCTTCTTTAAAAAAAGAAAAGCAGCCGGGCGTTGGTGGCTCACGCCTTTAGTCCCAGCACTCGGGAGGCAGAGGCAGGTGGATCTCTGTCAGTTTGAGACCAGCCTGGTCTACAAGAGCTAGTTCTAGGCCAGCCGCCAAAGCCACAGAGAAACCCTGTCTCACTCAAAAAAAAAAAAAAAAAAAAAGCACTGTGATGACTTCACTCTTCTCCACCCCTCCCTTCGAGATTTACAGCTTGCCTGCCCCATTTCTTCTCTTAAACGCTAATAGAATGTTCTCCAGCTTATAAAACAAACAAACAAACAAAACCCCAAAAACCAAAAAACAGGGAAGGAAGTAAAGAGTGTTTTCAGCAGTTTTATTATTTGCAACCTCGTGGCCCCCAGTACAAAGTTAAAGTGTTTAGTCCGTGCTGTGGTTGTCTCTGTCACACACACCCTCTGTGGCTCCCAGACGTATTCAGCATTACTTGCGCCAACGCTGTAGCTCTTGGGACAAACAGACAAATATGAGAACCTGGAAGGCCATGTTTTACTGGTTGTTTCTATCTTTGCTTTTTAAATATTTTTGTTTCATAAACTTGAAATCTTCTTGGGCCTAAGAACATCCTGCTTCCATCTTCAGGAATGAAAAGTAAATATGTCCAAGTCAGGTGCATAACCCCAGCAGCACTCCAGGGGCAGAGGAAGGACAAGATGAGGCTGGGCTACAGTGAGACCCCGTCTCAACACTAAAATGTCATGTCCACCATGACTACTACCAACCTTGGGGGCCAAATGACCCTTTGGCTTGGTTCAGCTGGGAGCAAGCCTCACCTCGAGAGACAGGATTGTTTGGGCTTCTCATTTGTATTGAGATCCCATATTTTACCAATATCCCAATGCCTGATACAAGAGCTGGTGTCTATGACAGGACACTCAGCCTGCAGAGGTGTGCTGCAGGCCCACTCCGAGTCACCTGACCTTCCGAGAGCCAATACATCGAGTTTTCATCTGAAATAGCCTAGGTTCCTACCACCTCTTAAATTAAGGGAAAACACTAAATTTTTTTTTTTTTTTGGTAGTCTATGAACTGAGATTTTGCTTTCTAAACATTAAAAATAGATTCATTAAATAAGTGTTTGGCCTGCATGTATGTATGTATGTGCACTACATGTGTGCCTGGTGCCTGCAGAAGTGAGAAGAGGGTGTTGGATTCCCCGGAACTGAACTTATGAATGTTTGTGAGCTGCCACGTGGGTGCTGGGAACTGAACCCGGATCCTCTGTAAGAGCGACAAGTGTTCCTAACCACTGAACCATCTCTCTAGCTCCAGATCCGTTTTTTCATACCCTTTAAACCTCCTGCTCTAAAAGGCAGAAAGCCCTTCTATTCCACTGTGAAAAAAGATTTGCAGGCACCTCCCCCTAGCAGGGAACAGTTTAAAGCAGGAAAAACAAACAAACCAGAGGCCTCTGGCCCACCACCAATATCACTAATGGGCAGCAAGCGCAGTCATGTAAATCTAAGCCAAATCTTGCAGACCTTTAACGGAGCCCCAGAGACAGCTCACCCACCAGGGCTCCTGTGTACTATTACCAGATCCCAAAGGGAGGTGACGAGTTGCTTGCACTACCAATTAGGACGGCTTACTCAGATGCTTGAAGCTCCAGTTACAGCACAGGATGAAGTAGCCGGCGAAGAGCATCGTGAGGCCCCCGACACCGCTCTTCTTTATGGTGGTGTTGCACTTGACCCAGCCTACGCAGAGAGAGGCCGACCATGTGGTTAGGGGCTGGGGTGTGGCCCAGTATGTGCACACTATTCAGGTCAGCCCCCGCCGTGGGCGGCGAGGCTAAGCTATGGAGGGCCTGAGGAAATTCTAATCCAGTGTTCCCACACTGGGAGCCGGGTTAGCCTCTGGAGCGATGCAGAGGTGACTATGACATTGCCTTGGCTGATCACTGTGGGGAGGGAGGGTTGGGGACAGGTGGCAGGGGTGTGTTTTAGGAAGTGAGCGCTCCACGATAAATGGGAGCTGCTGTTCTGTTAGCTTTGGGGTTCTGAGTGACACCCAACTCTGAAATGGAAACAGAGAATGACAACCACTGCTTTCTCTTCTTGGTTAAACAGCCCACAGCGGAGAAACTCCTCCACAGGCCTGGAGCCAGCAAGAGGACCCACCAGTCAGTAACAGCGGCCTCACCTTTGTGCGCAGCTCCCAAGAGCCTCATTAGAGGGATGCTGGAAGTTGTAAGCGCCAGGGGTTCCGAACTCCTGCTATCAGCCGAACTTCGTCCCCACCAAGGAACTACGGTTCCAAACAGAAGTCACTGTGACAGTCAGCCTAGCATCACCCCTTCCCACCATGCAGCCAGCCACACGTCCTCATGGCTGGATCTTAGGAAAAGCACACCACGGCAGCTGGATCAATGGGCACCTTACTGGGCGGCCGTTAAACTACACAAGGAAGTAAAATCCACCTCGGGACAAAGCTCTGACTGACAGAGACCTTGTACCATGATAAATGCATCGCCTGCCTGCTCTGTGTGCACGTGTCTGGTTAAGCCACATTTTATCATCTGCTGAGATTTTAGCAAGAAGTAGGACTTTCTACTAGAGGCTGAGTACCCTGAAATGTGTGGACCAAAGAGTTTAGATTTTGGCCTAAAAATAATTTTGGGCCATTTACATATGTATAATGAGCTATCTTAGGCCCCACACCCAGAACCAAATATGGAATTTCTCTGTTCTCTGCTCCCCTACCTGACTGGTGACTGAGCCCAGGATCTTACACATGCTAAAAATGAGTGTCAAAATGTCCTCTACCACCAAGCTGCATCCACAGCCCCAAAATTCATCTTTGTTTCTGATGAATTTGTCAGATGACCTGTCATATTCTGAAGACTTTTTTAAAAGTATGCCTGTTTTGACTGTGACTCACCATGTGGGATTAGGCTTGGGGCCATCTCCTCCCCAGGATGGAAGACACCCATGTTGGTATTCAAGATGCTGTTGCTTTGGAGCACCATGGATTTGAGCTTAGGGACAGTCAACACACACTAGACATACCTACTGCCTGTCACAGTCATCTTTATGTCTGTTCTCTGACCCCACTGCCATGTCTAGGTTGAACCTTCCTATTTACACTGACAAACAAGTAACAGGTAGAACCAGAAATGAAGGTACGTGTTACTTTTTCATGTTTTTCTCTGTGTTCAAGCCAGACAGTGATCTCCACTGGCCATAGTTTTCTGGTCTTGTTTTGGCTTGTCAAGACAAAGGATAAATTAGATAGATGGGGTTAGCAGGTGTAGTGAAGGCTGTTGTGAAATAAAAATGCTCAAATGATCATATTACATAACAATGGGAAACAACTCAGTCAGGGCCGGGACGGAGGGCTCAGTGGTTAAGAGCACTCGCTACTGAAGAGGACTCGGTTTTGGCTTCCCAGTGCCCACGTGGTGGCTTATATTCATTTTGAACTGTGGTTCCTGGGGATCGGACACCTTCTTCTGGCTTCCAGGGGCAACTGCATACATGTGGTACTCATAGCACACACACATATACATTACCCAACATATACATTAAAAAAAAAAATCAAAACCCAAAAAATCATGTTGGCATCCAAGGAATCACTCTGCATATTTGTGCAAGGTCAGAGTCTCTCTCTCTCTCTCTCTCTCTCTCTCTCTCTCTCTCTCTTCTCCCCCAGAGTGTTTCTTTTTTTTCAAACTCACAGAGATCCTCCTGCCTCTGTCTCCCGAATGCTGGGATTAAAGGCGTGCGCCACCAACGCCTGGCAAGGTCAGAGTCTCTTAAAACCAAACAAGAAAAAGAAAATCATGGGGCTGGAGAGATGGCGGCAGTGGTAAAGAATGCACACTGCTCTTCTGGGTTCAGTTCCCAGCACCCACATCTAGCAGCTCACAACCACCTGTAACTCCAGCTCCAGGGGATCTGATGCTCTCTTCTGGCCTCCACAGGCACTAAACTCATGTGCACATTTTATCCCAATACCTATACATACTTGAATATAAAACAGAAACAAAAAAGGTCAAATCCCCAGCACTCAGGAGGCAGAGGCAGGTGGATCTCTGTGAGTTCGAGACCAGCCTGGTCTACAAGAGCTAGTTCCAGGACAGGCTCCAAAGCCACAGAGAAACCCTGTCTCGAAACCTGCCCGCCCCCCCAAAAGTCAAATCATCAAGCCTGGAGATGTAGCTCAACTAAAAACACAAGGTATAAACTCTAGAAAACTGCCAGTGTTGGGACATGGTTTCAGTGGTGCTGGGAACTGTGTGGTACCATGACTCTGTTTTTCTCTAGTTGGCCAAGCTGGGTTCACCTCAGGTACAGGGTCAGGGGAACTTACACAAAGAAATTGAGCTGTGGCCATGGACGGAGTGCAGAGAACACAGTCACTATATCCACAGGCCTTTCTTTTCTACCTGCCACCGAAGGACACAACTCTTATTCCTTACAGCCTTTCCCATGATTTCTTTCCTTCAAGACTGTGTAGCCCTGGCTATCCTGGAACTCCTTCTGTAGACCAGGCTGGCCTTGAACTCAGAGATCTATGTCTTCTGTGTCCAAGTTCCTGGGGTTAAAGGGTGCACCACCATGCTCTCGGCTTACCCAATGAATTTCTAACCCCTAGGTCTCTTCCCAGTAAGAAACTCAGCAGCTGTCGGGATCAGCAGCTGCCCCACTCTAAGCCTCAACTCTCAATGGAGGAGAAGGGAGAAGGAACACTAACTACAACCGACTCTGGACGGAGTTCTCTTTGGTCAATTAAGTCAAGTGTGGGGTAAACTTGAGAATCTGCTAACTGAATGAAAACGAGTAACTCTCACCCCTATTTCAAAGGCACAGAGCATTCTGGAGGGGTGAGCCTGCTTACCTTTTGAGACACTTGCACCCTGGGAAGTGGCAGGAAGAGGCATCTGAGCCACTGAGTTCCAATGCTGAGGCCCACTTGGCAACACTCCTAGACCAACGTAACCAGGATAGAGTTCGGGAAACCACTCCAGTCCCAGGGATCTGGGAGCAGCACCCGAGTCAGCAGCAGCAGCAACATGACTGATGAAAGAGCTTTTAGACACGGAATGCGGAGCTGAATAAGAGGGTATGTGGTACCCTGCCTGGGCCGCATGGGGTTGGTGGGAAGACGTGGGATCCAGAATGTCCCTCTTGCTTCCCACTAATAGTGTTACGGCAGGGGCTTGACTCTGGCCATAGAATTGGGCTCTGTCTTCTGGAGGAAGCTTCACAGCCAGAGAGGTGAGGTGCTGACGCCCTGACTCTGGTATAGAGAGCAGCTTACTCAAAGTTTCCTCTGGTGGAGCAAGGGCTGCCTGTGTTTTTGCCTTTGGGGGTGAAATGGGGTCCTTAGCACCATGGTGCAGGCAAGCCCGTTCCGGTACTTCTGTGGCAGACTTGCTGTTCTTAGGGTTTCCCTTGGTCTGACACAACTCTACTCCGAGGCCGAGTTCCTGGTGCTCTCTGACTTGGGCTTTACCCAGTGGAGCGGTGTAAAGGCCCAAGAGGAGTGATTTGGACTTTGCCCGAGTCTCAGCACTACCAGGGTCAAGAGGGACTCCTGACAGGTGGTCTCCATCACCGGAACTACTCTCCCTGATCAACATTGAGGGTTTTCCTCCCTGGACCCCATGGCTGTCATTCTTTGGAGAATGACAATCACTAGCAGGTACGTCTAGTAATTTTGCCAGAAATTTCTGTCTTTGGGGATCAACTGTATCCAGTTTCAGACTTGCAGAAGTGGCTGGTTTAGCATGATGCTGAGCTGAGGGATATTTTTTACCTTGATTAGATAAAACTGGTTCCATTGAGCCAACCAGTAAAGATGCTTTGGTCTCTGAGGGATGACGTGGACTTCCCTGGGATCCAGTCACATCTCTGGCAAGTTCTCTCTCGGGAGAGCTGGTATCCAATGCTTGAGACAGAGGGGCCGTGCCTCTCTGCAGAACCACCTTTATCTTGGCTTGTCTCAATGCTTGGAAGGAGGGCTGATTTTGATCGTTGGCTTCTCCTCCTGCCTCTGCTGTACCCGCTCTTTCCAAGACACCTGCCGGCAGTGGAGAGGTGGCAGCCGTCCATTCTGGTCTGCCCTCTTCTGATTTCGCATTTCTTTTTGCACTCTCCATCTCTGGCTCTTTCCTTTCAGCTTTGGTTATGTCTCCGGTAGGCCCTGTCTCTTTTTTAGCATGTGAAAGTGTAGCTGGCTTGGACTGATAAACTTTTTGATCAGCAGATACCGGAGTTCCTCTCATCTTACAGTGTGGCAAGTGGGATTTTAATCGCTTAAATGGCTTCTTACAGTAAGGACACACCTCCATCCTGGGACCAGCATCACCCATCCTCTTTCTGGAGAGACAATGAATACAGAGCAATCATTTTATGGATTTTAACTTTTTATTTTCTTTGCCTTTCTTAAGATAGGCTCTTGTGTGTAGCCCAGGCTAGCCTCAAATTCACCATGCAGACTGGTCTACATAGACCCAAGATAGCCAGAGTTACATAATGAGACCATCTCAAAAAACCCAACAAGCCCACCCCAAACAGTAACCACCACCACCACAAAACAAAACCAAAATATTTAAGTCTAATAAATTAATGCTTAGCCAAGGGAAAGATATTAAAAATGTCAGCCAGAATTCAGTTTTGTTATTTATGTTAAGTGGAGGTTACATGAATGTAATGAAATTGTTTAAAAAGCCTTAAACATTAAGAGGGGAGCTACTTAGGGTTTTTAAGAGCAGTTAAGTGTTGCGGGATATCTGATCACACTGTGTGAAGATGTCTGTTTTACTTCACCTGCCTAAGACACCTTCTGATTGGTTTAATAAAGAGCTGAATAGCTAGACAGGAGAGGGCAGGTGTGACTTCTGGGGAGAGAGAGGAACTGGGGGGAGGTGGGATGAATCTGAGGTGGGAGATTTCCTAGCAAGAAACTGGGGAAGTTGGGGGTACATTACTGAAGAGAGGTAACAAGCCATGGGGCAGAACATAGATTAGAAACTGGTTAATTTAAGGTATATGAGCTAGTTGAGAACAAGCGCAAGCTAAGGCTAAGCTCTCACAATTACTTAGAAGTCTCTGTGTCATTATCTGGGAGCTGGTAATACAAAGAGAAAACCTTTATAGTTAAGAGCACCTATTGCACTGCTACTGCAGAGGACCCGGGTTCTGTTCCCAGCACCTGCACCAGGCAGCTCATAACTGAATGGAAAAAATAAAAAAGGAAGGATATGGCTGCTCCTAGGTATGGTGAACAAAGAAAGTTTATGGTAGATAAAAGGGAGAGCATAACCAGGGGCAGAGACATCTGGGAGGGCCCCTGAGCTGGGCCAGCGGTAGGGAGAGAGCAGAGGCGGGAGAGTAAAGGATAGAAGGAAGTGCCTGGTGACCACAAAGGCTGGGTTATACAGGGAAGGGTGGTCCAGCCCCTGAGTTCAGGTAGGGGAAGGGATATCGCACTGGGCCATACCCAGTAACAGGTAGGGACTGAGAGATGCTGGGAGAACCTGGCAGACAGGTCCACTTTGATATGTTAAATAGGCACCTTACTTAGCCATTTGTCCTGGGTTTGAGACCTAACAGTAGCTACCTGTAACTCTAGTTTTAGGGGAATCTGGTGTCCTCTGACCTGCTGGGGCACTGTGTGCACATAGTATAAATAAACTCACATAAACAAATTCATGCAGGCACATTTATATACACTTAGTAAAAAGATAAAAGTAACCCGGGCGGTGGTGGCGCAGGCCTTTAATCCCAGCACTAGAGAGATAGAGACATGAGGATCTATGTGAGTTTGAGGCCAGTCTGGTCTACGAAGCGAGTTCCAGGATAGGCGCCAAAGCTATAGAGAAACTCTGTCTCGGAAAAACAAGCAAACAAAAGACAACAAAACAAAACACCAAGTGAGTATTCTTCCCTTAAAGCCTCTCCCTCAAAGGAATTTCAGTTTTCTGGAACCTGTCCAGAAGGACAACATTTATGCAGGGTGCAAGAACTGGTTAGAACAGTTCTAGAGTTACATAAACAAGATTCACTGGGTGAGGACTCAGGAGAACTCTCTTATCAGCTGAGGCCGTGGCTCAGTTGGTAGAGTGCTTGCCTAGAAAGCTTGAAGCCCTGGGTTCCATTCCCAGCACTGTAAACCCTGATGCTGCAGTGGAGAGAGAGCCATAATCCCAGCACTTAGAAGTAGAGATAGGACAACTACGTCATCCCCAGTTAGTGATAGACTGGGATTCATGAGATCTCTGAAATAAAAAAAAAGGGGGGGGGAATAACTCAGGAGACATCAATCTCTGCTAATAGTAATATCAGCAATACATACAGATGTAAATGTAACCATGTACAGAAGGACACGACCCCCACTTTCTTTGTTTTTGTTTTGTTTTGTTTACTTTTTTTTTTTTTTCAAGACAGGGTTTCTCTGTGTAGCCCTGGAACTCCCTCTGTAGACCAGGCTCAGAGATCTGCTTGCCTCTGCCTCCCAAGTGCAACTACCACCTGGCCCCAATTTTTTAGTTTTAACTTGTAATACAATTGATTACCCGGTACACACAAATTTGCATAATATCAATTGCTTAGTTTGAAATTTTTTTAAAAAGATTGTATTTATTATGTATACAGTGTTCTGCCTGAATGTATGCCTTCAGGCCAGAAGAAGGCACCAGATCTCATTATAGATGGTTGTGAGCCACCATGTGGTTTCTGGGAATTGAACTCAGGACCTTTGGAAGAGCAGCCAGTGCTCTTAGCCTCTGAACCATCTCTCCAGTCTCTTAGTTTGAAATTTTTGATAAATGTATATCATATAAAAATATTTTCAAACACCAGGCAGTGATGGTACACGCGTTTAATCCCAGCACTGGGGAGGGAGAGGCAGGCAGATCTGAGCTTGAGGCCAGCTTTAGGTTCCAGGACAACCAGAACTACACAAAGAAACCCTGTCTCAAAAAACCAAAAACCAAAATAAAGCAACAAATGCCCCCTCCCCAAACAAAACAAAAAGCGCCGACTCTGAAACCATTTGCAAAATAAATATCCATGTATTAAATCAACCAGCACTTTAGACTTCATGAAATGAAAAACCAAACTGTTTTCTGTGGAGTTCACAGTGACTATTTTGGGGGGGGCAAGAGGGGGTCGAGACAGGGTTTCTCGGTGGCTTTGGAGGCTGTCCTGGAACTAGCTCTTGTAGACTAGGCTGGTTTCAAACTCACTGAGATCCATCTGCCTCTGCCTCCTGAGTGCTGGGATGCCACCACCACCTGGCCACAGTGACTATTCTGTTAGTTAAGAATACACTGACAACAGAAGTGATAGACTATTCATCTGCAAAACGCACATGACAAAGCCAATCCATGGGGTTTCCAGTTGTAACAGTACCTTTTCCTAAATTTTCATAGTATCCCACTACGTAGCCTTGTCCGCCCTGGAACTCAATAGGTAGACCAGGCCGGTCTTGAACTCACATAGATCGGCTTGCTTCTGCCTCCTAAGTACTGGTGTAAGGATTCAGGCATTATGATGGCCTGCCCCTGTCACCTGGCAGAATGAACTCGCAGTAACCTGGTCAGCCCAGGGTACCATGATTACTAGTCTACAGGCAGGTGCAAATGATCCCTTTAAAAGAAAGATCTCCGCCCACTTAGGATCTCTTTCTGTTTTCTTTTTCCCCCCTCTCCCTCTTCTCTTCTGTCGTCTCTCTCTTTACCCCCTCTTTCCCTTTCTAATAAAACTCCTCACTAAGCTCTGTCTGCCTGGCATGTTTGTCCCATCCCTCCGCCTCGGTCACCGTCGCCTGCCATGGAATCCGCTAAGATTCCCCTGGTGCTTTATCATAACAACTGGGATTAATGACATGTACTAGGATACTTGGCCCTATACCCTACATTTTAACAAGGGACCCGTTTTCCTGCCAGACTTCTTACAGTCGTCTCTCCAAGACCCTCGTGTTTGTGGATCACTGTTAATGTGTTTGGCAGAAACTTTGAACTCCAACTTCTGTGACGATCAGAACTAAGTGGAAGAGCTGATGCAAGATGTGACCAAGTACTGCATCCTATACAAATTATTGGATTATGGCCCTGGCAGATAACTGGGGATGCTTCTGAAAAGTAAAGACTTCCCCAGGTATCCCGGGCCCTGACTACACTTAATCGAAGAAGTAAAATGAAAAATGTTAAATCCGAGACAAGGCCTCAAAAATAGATAAATAAAGAAAGTAGAGCAGACTGGCTTCGAACTCGTTTCATAGTCGAGGATGACTTTGACCTTCTGCTCTTCCAGCCTCCACCTCCCAAGGGTTGGGGTGACAAGTGAGCGCCGCGCACGCCGGGCTGGGACCTCGTGATCGCCTCTGATCACGCTCGTCTCGCCACGAGCCGGCTCTGCTCCCCGCCGCTTGCCCACACCTTTCCGCCGGCCTCTTCCAGCAGGTGGGCGGGGCCGCTCGGGGTCGGGGCTGGGGCTCCGCTAGTCCATTCGCCCGATCAGCGCCCCTCGCTCGACCTACAACAAACGTCGTGGAAACCAGCCCAGCCTTTGGATACTCCACCGACCCGGCTCCGCACCTCTCGAGATGCGAAGTTCCACGCGGCGCTCGCTTCGAACTCGGAGCTCGCCGGCGCCTTCCAGACGTGGAACCTAGAACCCGTGGCCGTCCGCGTCAGCGCCTGAGGGAGCTCGCCCAGTCCTTTCTTCTCATTGCCACCTCAAGGGGACCTAACGCAGATACGGGCGTCAGCCAGTGCCCTATAATTCAATTTATCCAAATCCGGCCTGACT